GGGGACGGGGACGAGGACGACGGGGGACGGGACAGCTACTGAAGTTCCTGTAACAGACTGACTGATGCTTTAAAGAATTCATTTTTTCTCAGATGAACAGTTCAAGTAGTCTCGCTTTACCATGTATTCCCCTGTATACATCTTCAATAAATAAGAGACTTTTCACGTTATAATGTGGGCTATTAATTACCAGTGTAGAAATGCACTGGGTGGGGGTGGGGGGGAATCATCAGATTATAAGCAGGGAACCTTTAGTGCAGAGAACAGTGACAGACATCCTACACTGAGTACAAGAGAAAATGCATGTCTAAATATAATGCAAACTAAAACCATTTCAAAACATGCTGATGAGAAAGGCTGACAGTGCATGATCAAAATACAGGGTGGATGAAAATGTAAAGCTCATGCTTCTCCTTAACTCCTTTTTGTCTTCCAAGAAACATGGATGTAAAGTCAAAGACTCAAAGAGAAACTTACTCTTCTTTCCTGTTCTCCCACCCTTTTACATGAAGAGGAGGGTTTAGTTTTCTTACTGAATGAGAGAACCAGGCCTAGTAAGCACCAAAGAAAGCAACATCTTTCAGGAGCAGCCTCACCACAAGCAAGGACCCAGCAGACCTCTGTTCACACCAAAACACAGAGCTCCTGCAGCACACATTCCTTTGAGAAGCCGCAAACCAAGGGGACTATGAGCAGATTACTCAGCAAGTTTCTGCTGAAGTTTGATTTCTTTCCTAAAATAGACTTCTTTATCCAGAAGGCAAGAGGCTGCTGACACACAACTCCAGAAGACTGCTTTTATGATGAGTGCATTTGAGGCCTTCACTACCTACTGAAGCAAACCCAATGTGACAAAACCCTGTTAATAACTTCTGAAGACAACTTTCCTAGCCCAGACTGCTTGTATCTGTTCATTATATTGAAGAAATCTGGTCGCTCATCAAGGTTAAAGATTTGGTTCAGGATTACCAAGGCAATATCAGGTTTATAACTTCAAAACATAGCCAATAAAGCTCATGCATGAAGACTTGTGTCTTCCCTCCAACCTTGCAACCCCAATTCCTCATAACTGTGCTAATGCTGCAGTTGATACAAAACCACCAAAGCAAGATCATTTCTGCCTCACTACTGTAATCTGCTCTAACAGACTAGAATAACCATCACCCCCATGCATACACTTCCCTCCCCATACAGAGATTTCTAGAGCTATGCCAGTTTGCTTTCATCAACCCTTTGCCTTTTTTTCCTCCTCCTTTTTTTCCAACAGGGGATGATGCCTTATAGACTTGCAACTTCCTGAACTGGACCAGAGCAAATGAAGGTAGAAGGCTTTGTACAGCTCATGTTGGCACAAAATTATCAATATACACCCAGTGAAGTGTAGAAATATCACCTGGATCCAGTTCAGAAGAGAATTTCTCAGTTTCCCTAGCTTAAGGGCACACTGGGGTTTGCTTTTTTTTTTTTTTTTTCCCCTTCCAGAATGCCTGTTTAAAGCCTCAACAAAGTTCTTTGAGGATTACGCTCAAAGCAGATGAAATGGGAGAAATTAGAAATTTGTGGTTTTGCCTTGTGTCACACCAAGGACACAACCTGGTTCTTGTGAACAGATAATATTGTGTATGCCTTGTCCTTTTAAGAGAGGGTATCTTTTTCATGGAAAGGTAGGATAAAACTACCAATCTATTTCAACAAGCAGCTTCAGCATCAATATTCTTGTTTAAATCAAGCAAGGACAGCAACTTAAGTTTATTCTCATTTCTGAACTAATTTTTATTCTTCTTGTGGCAATATCTTCAAATGCTGAAGGTCAGTATCTTGTGTTCTACTATCAGGTTGGAAAAACAGAAAATGGAGGGTAACCGTCACATGGACTCTGGCATTATAGATGGGTGGAAGCAGCACAAGTAGATCCAAATTTCTCAGTATACACAATCCTCCTGCTCTTGCACATGTCACGTTTACAATTTCCTCCATTCTCCTGTTTACATCATAATTTCTCCATTCTACCACATTTCTTACTCTTCAGCAAAGGTTCTCCCACCACGAAGAGCCTGAGCAGAAAGCCACAGGCAAAGCTGGGGAAGAAACTAGTTTCCAGCAGGAGGCATGAAGGCAGTGATGAAGCACCAGTGTTTAGGTTTTTTCCCTCCGATTCCTTCCACTTGAACAGCCTGAATGACTAGTCACCTCCACTCACCTTCACCCACTGCACTGCTGAACCTTCCCAGAGAGC